AAACTGACGCTGATCACCAGGACTTGCTTTATCACTCTAATGTCCGCTGGTTAAGTTTGGGGAAAGTATGTCAACGAGTGTGGGAGCTCAAACAGGAGATTAGCTCATTTTTGGAGCTACTTGAGAAAGCTGACGACTTTCCTGAGCTGGGTGACACAGATTGGCTTTGTGATTTAGCTTTTGCTGGGCACATACTGACACATATGAATGAGCTGAACGTGAAGCTACAAGGGAAAGATCAGTTTGTGCATGAAATGTTCACAAACGTCAGAGCCTTCAAAACCAAGCTATCTTTATTCTCAAAGCAAATGTCAAATAAGACATTCGCTCATTTTCCCACACTGGCTACGCTGAAAGACGCCCCTCAACATGTGAAAAAATATAGGAAATCACTGGACGACCTGCACGGAGAATTCTGCCGTCGGTTCTCCGATTTTGGAAAAATTGACAAGTCACAATGTGACACCGTCTTAAAGGAGAAGTTCAAATCTCTTAAACTGGATGAGTTTTATGCTTCATTATTTGCAGCCAAATTTCCAAACATCCAGAAGATGGCACAGAGGATGCTGGTGTTGTTTGGCTCTACCTATGTGTGTGAACAGACTTTTAGTGTGATGAACACCAACAAAGCACCCCACAGATCCCAGTTGAGTGATGAACACCTCAGATATGTTCTGAGAATTGCCACAACAAAACTAACAGCAGACTTCGATGCACTGGCAATCAACAACACTGTTCCCACTAAAAGTGAATGTAAGTATTAACACTGTAATGCCTTTTATATGTTTATGTTTGATATGTATGCATCTGGTGCTGGCCCGGCCTGTCTGTCAAATTTTAAAAGTCAATGTGGCCCCTGAGCCAAAAAGTTTGCCCACCCCTGCTCTAACCTGCCAGCTAGCTAACTCTACTTAGGAGGCGTAGCTGTAGCCACTGTGCTCATCTTGTCACATTCAGTAATATATATGTGATGTACAATGTGGTGGTTCACATAATATAACACTTGGGCTCCAGGCCTCTGTCACCATAAATTTTACCCTTTGTTACACTAAGTGAGCAGTGACAGCTATGCGGCTACTGTTATGAATGAATGAAGACGGAGCGACTGGTCACATACAGTCTTATGCAAAAGTTTAGGCACCCCTTGATAAATAACAGATTTTGGTGATTTTTTATTTGAACAGATATTAACACAGTTTCTCTTGGAAATGGAAAAAATGCACAATATTTTCTGCAAACAGTGATGCATAGTTACTTCTTATGCCATAAATTGAACAAAAATAAAAAATAAAAACATTATTATGGCATGGTGCAAAAGTTTGGGCACCCTACACAATCAGTACTTAGTAACACCTCCTCTGGCAGATATCACAGCTTGCAAACACTTTTCATAGCCAGCTAAAAGTCTTTCAATTCTTGTACTTGGGATCTTCTCCCATTCTTCCTTGCAAAAGGCTTCTAGTTCTGTAATATTCTTTGGTCGTCTTGCATGCACAGCTCTTTTAAGATCTACCCACAAATTTCCAATGATGTTTAAATCAGGGGACTGTGATGGCCATTCCAAAACCTTCAGCCTGCGTCTCTTGAGGTATTCCATAGTGGATTTCGAGGTATGTTTAGGATAATTGTCCTGTTGTAGAAGCCATCCTCTTTTCAGCTTCAGCTTTTTTACAGATGGTGTGATGTTTGCTTCCAGAATTTGCTGGTATTTAGTGCAATCCATTCTTCCCTCCACCCGTGCAATGTTTCCTGTGCCACTGGCTGCAACACAACCCCAGAGCATGATAGATCCACCCCCATGCTTAATAGTTGGCAAGGTGTTCTTTTCATGAAATGCTGCTCCTTTTTTTCTCCAAACATGCCTTTGCTGATTGTGTCCAAAGAGTTCTATTTTAACTGCATCAGGCCACAGCACTTGTTTCCAAAACGCATCAGGCTTCTGTAGATGTCCTGTTGCATACTTCAGACGTTGGATTATATGATGGGGACGCAGGTAAGGTTTTCTTCTGCTGACTCTTCCATGAAGGCCTTGTCTGTGCAAGCATCGCTGCACAGTGGAACGGTGCACCACCACTCCTGAGTCTGCTAAATCTTCCTGCAGGTTTTTTGCAGTCAAATGGGGGTTTTGATTTGTCTTTCTGACCAGCATACGAGCAGTTCTGTCCGAGAGTTTTCTTGGTCTTCCAGATCTCATCTTGACCTCCACAGTTCCCCTGATCTGCCATCTCTTAATTACATTTCTTACTGTGGAAACTGCAAGCTGACAACGCTTTGCTATCTTCTTGTAGCCTTCTCCTGCATTGTGGGCATCAATAACTTTCATTTTCAGGGTCTTACACAGCTGCTTAGAGGAACCCATGGTTGCTGGGTGTCCGCAAGTGTGTGCACAAGGTTTGAAGAGTCAAAGTATTTGTACAGCTTTGAAATTGGCATTTACCAATGACAGCTGTTGCTGTGCATCAGATCTAACGAGCTGATTAAGGTCTGAAACCTTGTGAGAGACTTTGAGACTCTGGAACTCTTAGGGTGCCCAAACTTTTGCACCATGCCATAATAATGTTTTTATTTTTTATTTTTGTTCAATTTATGGCATAAGAAGTAACTATGCATCACTGTTTGCTGAAAATATTGTGCATTTTTTCCATTTCCAAGAGAAACTGTGTTAACATCTGTTCAAATAAAAAATCACCAAAATCTGTTATTTATCAAGGGGTGCCTAAACTTTTGCATAAGACTGTATAAACATCCGGGTGAATCAGAGACAAGATGGCCACATAGTAGTATGTCTGAAGTCGTACTTACTAGATGGTGGAGTGGCTGCAGTGCCTACTGCATTTTCATTAAGAGTACTAGGTATTCAACAGAAATATTCACCTACATGTGTAGTAGGTGGTTTTGGATACACTCTTAGTTTAGTTTTTTTAAGGATAAAGATAAAATCACCTTTATTGGGCAAGTATGTTACACACAAGGAATTTGTTTCCAGTACAGAACCGAGGCAGCCATCTGCGGTGCCAACTCAACCGATGGCTCTAACCACCGGGGGCAACTTGGGGGTTCAGTGTCTTGCCCAAGGACGCTTCAACACATGGACTGCAGGTACCGAGATTCGAACCTTCAACCTTCCAGTTGGGAGACGACTGCTCTACCCACCGCACCATTGTCACCTCCCCATTTTCAAAATAAAAGTTAGTGCCAGGAATTTAGTGTTGCTCTGAAATATTCTGGATTATCAAAATAAAAGACCCACATTCAGAATTAACCTCACACTGGCATCTTGTCTTTTGTCATACTTTCAAAATAAAAGCCAGGAATTCTGAATTAACCTCACATGGACATCCTAGCATGCCTGAATTTCAAAATAAAAGTGTTTATTAGCAGTACATAATTTCCAGACAATGATCTTGGTGTGATTTCCAAAATAAAAGCTCAAAGATGGTGCAAATGCTTATTTAGGGCTCTAGAACACACTGGCTCTACCAACAGGGAGTATTTTTACTTTTAATACTTAAAATACATTTTTCTGAATAACTTTTATTTAACCTTTTCAGTGCAGCTCTTTCCCTTTTTTTTTGGTATTAGTTCAAATTAGTTCACTTCAATGCTTTATTCAGTTTCAATACAGTCGATAGGAATTTGCTTCAGTGTGCTCACAGAAAACCAACACAAAATCTAAAACAAATTCCATTTAAACAACAACGATCCAGTGCAATAATGATAACAGTTCCAACAGTGAGTACAGTATGTATCCTTGAGTAAAAGGATTTATTCCTCCACTGCTGATTATCATTAGCTGTTTGTAAAGAGTCCTTATGTTCACCTAATAATTACTACTGATGATGAGGGCTGCATTGCAATTTCCTGTTATTTTCTAGGGCTGCCTTTCCCAAACTCAGGGCCGCAGACCCATTTTCATAAGGTTGCCAGTTGCCAGAGTGAAATGCACAACAATGACACTGTATGACATGTGAGTTCGTTCTCCAAATCAAAATAGAAGAGCACTGTTTTCTTTTGGATCTGTTGAGCTCAGATACTGTGTGCAAGGCTCTCTCTCTCCCCCCTCTCTCTCTCTCTTTTTCTCTGCCTGTCTCGCTCTCTTTGTCACTCTCTCTCTCCGCTTGCATAACGCACCACACACGTAGCTGCCTGTCTGAACGTCGACTGTTCATTCTGAATGTAATGAATATAATTTGACAACAGTCCAAACTATGTGTTTAAACAGCATTGCGAAGATTAACATTACACTCAACATTTTCATCATTGCTGAGTTGTACATAACGGAATAAATATGTTTCATAGCCTATAGGCATCATTTTAAATTCAGGGTTTGCTGTTATCGGTAGATACATATGTTGTAGCAGTTCGCGGTGTATTTTTCTAACTTTGGGTCCCGGAGAGAGACACATTTCTCTTCTGGGTCTCGAGCAGAAAAAGTTTAGGAACCACTGTTCTAGACAATAATCCGTGTTTTCTACATGGGTAAACAAGAGTTCGCAGCCTGATAAAGAAATGGTGACAGTGTGTGTGCACAGGTCAGTTAAACAGCTCACCTTATTCGTGAAACATGAGAAAACGAAGGCGGAGCTAAAGGCGAGGCCACTGATGTATGTTGTCCACGGCATGTTGACCTGCTGATATAGAGCAGCTTGACATGATGCGGAAGAGCACTACATGTAACGTGTATGTTATATATGTCGCCTGTTTCAAACTAGACACGTTTTGGGCTCGGAAACTTCCATGAGAGTCCTGTGTGCCACGTCAAAACGTTGGAGACAAAGCTCGTCTATGTTTGAGAAGATCGTCCACTGGCACAAAATATCGGGGGGGGGGGGGGGAATACGATTTGAACAAAAGATAAAGAATTCAATGGCTATGGAAGCCCATTCCCGCCAGTTACTCCGACTTAGCTAAGTCGAAATTCTGATATAGCTAAATCGAAATTCCGACTTATCTATGTCGAAATTCCTACATAGCTCAAAGTATCTTGACGTAAGCCTGTCAATCGGAAGTAGTTATTCTTCTTCCTGTTTAGTTGTTTTTGGTGCGGAGACAGAGAGCTGTAGCATCCTTTACTGTAGCGTAGCGTAGCGTGCACTGGATAACAAACATTGGAATGCACTCAAAACGGACAACAGCCCTCTCATGCCCGGCTACATGAGAGCAACATGAAGGTATTGTGCCGACGTATACAAATGCAGTGTAATTGTGTTCAATTAACGCTAGTTGCTAACGCAGCAGATGCTGGTCTGCAAAATAGACCTAGTGTGTAACAGTAACAGTAGGGCTTTAGACGTGGCTCAGACCCGTTTACATGTGGAGTGGGGTACATTTATCAGCCACATTTATCGGTGAATGTATTAACGTTATATAAAATTGCATTATGTCGAACAGCACACGTTTTCCAGGTAACTTCTTTATTGTACTGATGTGTAATTGTTTCCTTATAGTCATGTACTTTAAAGAGCAGAGGCTCCTTGCGATAATTTTAAAGGGTTTCCTTGTGCACAGTATCATTTCAATCTGTTGCTATTGTGAAACTTGACAACAATTGCATTTGTTACAAAATCTTCAAAACCTAACCAGGTCTATGTGACAATGCTGCATTTCAAAGAGAGAACATATTTTAATCATACATGAAAAATCACAACTATTAGGATGAACTGTACAGTATTAGTATTACAGTCCAAATGAAATGTTAGAATGCAATTCCCGCTGTTTGAAAAATCTTACATTGCTCTCATTTCTATGTAATACACAATGATAGGCCATGACAAGTTTCCTTATAATGCATGTTCACAGGATGGATGACCTAAGTGACTTCTTGAGACAGAGAAATGTTCCTGAGGAAACCATAGAGACCCTGGAACATGAGAAGGTATTTAAATGCAAATGAAAAATATTTCAAACATCTTAATTACATAGTGGAGACCTTTTTCAAACTGTTTCATTGTCCATGTTTAGATTGATGCCAGCACCATACTGCTGATGAC